AATTAATTTTCCTTTTAGCAAATGAATTTGAAATGAACTTGAAAAGATCTCGAAAGTCAAACCTCAAAAAATAAATATTGGCGTGATCAATTTCTAAGACTCTCCCGTAAAAATCACGAATTATATATGTGTCTTCACATCTTTCTTTGACGCTTTCGAAAACAATGAGAAATTAAAATGCAGACAAGCTCAAAACTTAATTGTTAGTTGACTAAAATACAGATTTGAGAAAGACCATCATTTTTAGTTATCAACAGGAAAAAGCCTAAAATCCGGTTGCAACACTCTTGCTTATCGCAAAATTAACAACTCCAATACTCATAAATTCACCAAATTTTCAGGACTAATTTATACTCTTGACATTCATGAAAAACTTTTAAAAAAATGGAACATAAAATTCAATTTCAGAAAAACTGCGTTAAATAAGCTTTCATTTACAGAGCAAGCGTCTGCTAAGCAGACAATACTTGGGTAGATGCCTGTCGAGTCAGAAAAAAATAACCAATGGATGTCGTACACTTTTCACTTTTATCACCCTGAAAGACTCAAAATAATAAAATTAACTTGAGAAAAACTTACCAATTATGGTAAAAAATCCATAAATAAAAAAAAATGGCATGACTTGTGGTTAAAGCCGACAAAATGAGCAAAAACATGAAAGTCCCAAAACTCATTTTTTTCTACAAAATATTCAACCTCATACATACTCTGAAAAAAACATAAGCCTCATTATCTCAAGAACAAGTCAAAAAAATTCTGGAAGTTGTTTAATCCGAAGTAAGTTTCTTACAGATGTGTAAGAAAAATTGTTTACGGGGAATAAAGCTACTACGGGATTTTTAAGTGAATCAATGAGATGCGTAAAAGACTAATGCTGGCTCACCTTCAATATTGATCGTGATTACGAAAAGAAAAAAATAAATACTCGAATATAATTAGCTCGTAGAAATTGAGCGTGAGATAGCGCGCTGATTCAAGTGTCTAATTCAAGCTTAGACGGTTATGTTTCTCCAAAACTGAGCATTGAATTTAGTAGCTCTTTATGTTTTTCAGAAATGTTTTGATTTGTAATTTAAAAAAATGGATGTTTTCATAACATCCGCAGCATAACTCAAACATCGAGCCCGCCTAAGTAGAATAGTGGGCCTGGATAAAGTTTAGAACGTTTCTCGAAAAAACTTGAAATATGAAAAATTCTAATTTCTAATTACAAGGCACTTGTTCTTGCAACTTTTAAAAAAGATTCATAGCGTTAAGCAAGCAAAAAAAATAACCATAAGTTCCTTTCTCAATACCAAATAAAACGATTGTGGTAAGCAATATGGTTTTGATTAGGATAGCAAAATTTCATTATTTTACACTTAATAGGACAGCTTTCCGCTTTTTTAGAGAGCAATTTCTATCGAAACCATATAGCAGAAACTTGATATGCTAATTTCAAACGTGAAACCACCAAACAATACTAATTCTGGAAGGTTAAAAAATCAAAAAACTCGGTCTTAACTGAGCAACGGTAAACAAATGCACCTTCATAACACTGCAATAAAGCGCGAACATCTGAAATACAAATTTCTAAAAAAATAATGGATTTCAATCAAATGTACCCTACTTCATGTGCTGAAATCATGTGCTCGAAACAAGGGATTAAAATTGCTACAACTTGTAATAGGGTGTCTTATAATGAACACATTTTTCACAAATTTGAAAATACTGGAGCTATAAAAACTTTTGTGATCAGCTGGAAAAACTCTGAATTAAAATCTCCTGATGAAACTAAAAAAACTCGCAGCACCCCAAAAACCAATCAATGCACTGATTAAAGTTAAAGACAAGCTCAATTTGCATTTTTGTATCTGCAGAGCTTAAGCTTCCTACCACTAGTTATTACAAAGAGGCGAGACTAAACTTTGCAAATACAAGCGTAAAAATAACAAAAAATGTTCCTAAAGATTGCAACAATGAAATAAGAGAGCTAAAAGTAAGTCTTGAAAACAGAACTTTTGTTGTGTGCCGGAACCGAACCCCGACCAGCAGGTTAAGAGTCTCAAGCCGTCGCATCTGCACTCTTTTTGCTTTGCGAGTTGGGTTTAAAACATTAACTAAATAAAATTAAATCCAATTCGACTATTAAAAGTTACAAAATCATAACAATCATATTTCCCAACACAGAGATGAAGCTGCACTTCGCAAACAAATAATAAAACTATCTAACTTTTACCCTTTTTAAAATAAAATTTAAAACGAGCTAAAACTTTAGGATTGTCCTGGAATCGAACGCCCCCAGGTTATTAAGTCTCACCTCGTCACATCTGCGCCATGGTCATTTGACAGTCGTAAAATGCTAGCTATCAAAATAGCCGACACAACAGATACTCTGTAAATGCCAATGCCACGCCAACAACGTGACTTAATGAAAACTTTTATCGGTTGGGTTGGAAAAAAAGTTAAGTTCATAATATGACACTACTCTCTCTTGAGCAAAAAAGAAGCTTTACCGGATATTTTCGAGATGCAGCACAATAGTTCAGAAGATGCCAAAATTCCAGTCCCCACCCGACCTTCTGCCTCTCAAGAGCCGAGTCCAAAATGAAATTTTGTAAAATGCCGGCTATTAGATCGATTTGTAAATTTTTCAAATGAATACTCTTACCTTTACGAAAATGTTATGCTATTCTACGCTAACAACGGCGCACAGAAAATTCGGCCAAAGACAATTCGGCCAAAGACAATTCAGCCAATTTGAAATTCAGACAATTCAGCCAGAACTATAAAGACAATTCAGCCAGTTTTACAAAACGCTAGATTCGGAAGAAAAAAAATTGGAATTGGAGTTATTTCTCGGTTTAAGGTCGCCGGTGGGCGCGCTACGCGCGCGTCGCGGCGATAACCGGCTCTAAATTTCGTATAGAGTCCTACCCTTTGGTGGCAAGCTCGCAACACGTTGGCTCGACTGCGGCGGTCACAATTATTGGCTGAATTGTCTTTGGCTGGATTGTCTGCATAATTTTGGCTGAATTGTCTGAATTTCAAATCGGCTGAATTGTCTGTGGCCGAATTGTCTGGACGCGGCTAACAACAGAAGTAAACATTGATAATTTCTGACGTCTTAGAAAATTTGGGTTACTAAAATAGAAATGCACGTCTGTTCGGCTGTGTTGTGCAATTACCCTAATAAATTGTTTTCTCAAATAACCAGCACATTAACTAGATACTTTTAATTTTAAAAATAATTTATTCTATTCTAATACTGATACGCTTTATGATAAATAATACGAATATTCAACGCATAATTTTAATAATACTTTGCTACCGAGGTAAACTACGACAATGAAAAGCTTATTAGTAAAAATGCTGGTGGTACATAAACCATCCAAAGTATCATCTATCCGAAAATACGTAACTGTTATGAGATAGTTATGTAACAATTATAGTTATTATTATAGTTATAGCATATAGTTATTACAAATATCTTATACTAGTCTACTTATAATATCTACTAATACTAGTCTACTAACAATTTTTGATTAATTAATTATTACTAATGAATATAGAGGCGAACTTATTGACTCCTCTACCGCCCTTCCCATTGTAAAGTAATTTAAGAAAACTCAGCAAGAAATGGTCGAAGAAAAATATATGAGCAAGAAACTCCGACTAATTCCACCCTAAGCTTGATATTCGACTGAAATGCATTCAATTACTTAAAAGACGAGCGAAAAAATCATTCTAAATACCATAGAAAGAAAAAAATCTAAAAACCATTATTTAAGATCTGACAGCTTTCAAATTTGCTGTTTTTAAGATCTGACACCTTTCTGCTTTCAAATCTGACAAAAATGAAAAACAGAACAAACTTCATTTTACCGGAGCCAAAACAATTTACATCATTTAAGCATGGCGAGCTAGCTGGCAAATGAACACGAAAACAAGGTGAAAAACCTGAAAAAAGACAATTACCAAAATTCTGGTATCAAGGTTTAGCTCGAATGAAACTCATTTTATAAGAATCATGCCGAGAAGGACAAATGTCGGCCATATAGATTTAAACCAATATTTAGAAAGCGGTGACTAAGCCAACACTATTTGAGCAGCCAGCTCCGATGTGCTAAGAATCTGAGCATATATTAATATTGAAAATCGAACTTCATGAGTCCCCTTCACCAAAAAAATAAATTTATTGACCAAACAATGACGCAGTAAGAAGCTAATATACCAAAATAACATATTTAAGCTGTGCCCTTTTAAGCTGGGCAAACACTCAATTAAAAAAAGAGCTAACAGACAGTTGGAAAAGTGTAAAAGAAGAAAACCAAAAATATGATTGAAAATTTTTGATTAATTTTCATATTTCGAAAAAAATACCAGGTTAGCTCTTTCATTTTCGATTGGCACCTTTATTGGAAAAAATATTATATTTACAGAAAACTGTATCAAGGTATTTTTTATTCAGCTGCTTGAAATTCTGAAATTCAACACCATTGAAACTAGACTTCATTCACTTCTACTATTCGACGATGGAGTTTGCGTTTATTTAACAAAGGAAACGAATTGAAATTTAATAGAAACCAAAAATCAAACCGCAAAAAAATCAAATTTAACTGATCAAATTTTGAGACTTTTCCTTGAAAAAAAAAGATAAAAACCTATATAAGTGACGGTGACTTCGGTCTTTTACACTTAAAAAGGGAAATTAACAAAGCCAAGGTTAACAATTTTTCAACCAAGATTTTAAAAAATCGACAAGAACGGGTACTTAAAAGGCAATCTTGTTCAAAGCACATCTGTTGGACTAAACTTCTAACAGAGGACCGCGGGAGATAAGTTGTGCGAACAAAGTTGTTCACAGAAAAAATCGTATTTAGAAAATAGTAGAAGAGCTGAACATAGTTGCTAAGCAAAATAATTCAACACTTCGCTTGGCAATTAGAAATATAGAAAAAACCTAGTAAGCTGTTTCTTGTTGTTTGTCGGGAGAACGTAGAAAAAAGCATGATGTTTCTGATATGCATTCTAAATTAAGTTGCATAAATTTATAAAATCATAATTAGGCATTAAATAATCAAAACTGAATACAAAATAAAAATGACAGTTTCAAGACAACTTCGGAAGCAACATCAAACGACTCTTAATTGTCCATCATATTTCATTTGGGCAGCTCGCAAGGGCGATTGATTCTTCAATTGATCAATGTAGAGAGGAATTAATGCTTCTAGGGAATTTGGGTCTGTCCGATTAATCGGTGGGAAGTTTTCGGGATACTCAGGAGTTCTCAACTAGGATCTCTAACTGCATTTTGAGATTGTCATTTCTGTCGAGGTACGACTGAAATCAAACACTCAATATATTATGACGACATAGCGAAGTACTTGAGGCTACTGCTATTTCGAATCATCAACCGAGTCCTTAATTATATTCGGTAGACTAGCATTACTTGCCTGGATTTTGTTGACTAATTCTTTTCTCTTGGATTTCGGCTCCGGCATACTGCTGGGAATGTCCTGTACAATCATGTTTCATTATATCCCTTTCAGTAAAAGTATCCATTATGAAAAAATTTTTATTCCAAGGGCGCCAAACTGTAACAAGATTAGACAGTTGGTGTTCACGTAGCACAGGAAGTTCCGACCACATTAAAAAAACTAACATTTTTTTTCAAATTTGTGTCTTTTTTGGTGTGTGCTCTCATGAAAGGACAAAGACGAAAGCTCAAAACATTAGTAATAAATAAGCCATATTGAACAACAGTTTTCTTTGAGGTTTGCCACTCAAGCGCTAAAGGAGCTTTAAAAACTAAATTTTCATGCTCCTCAAGCAAACACATTCCTGATTGTTTGTGGAACCTAATTTTACTTGGAAAAAAGTAAAAAAAAACAAGGACAGCCGGTTACTGTGCAAGTAGCACAGAATGTTCCGACCATAGTCTTCAAAAAAACTGCAAAATAGTTTCTTATGCGTGGTGTGATCAAAGGATCTGACGTGAAACTATAATTTTGGCATATTCGACAATCATAGTAAAATAGGCAAACAGGACAACAGCTTTTGATGGAAATGACTAGAAATTTTTTTTAAAATTTTTTTTGCAGAATTTGTTTTTTTAATTTTGAGGTTTTTGATTCCAAAAATGGCATTTTAAAACTCCAAAAACTAATTTGACTCGAGTAAACTTAGAATTAATTACAAATAAGCTATTGTAAACGGCTTAAAATAAGACGAAAAATCAAAAATTTCCAATCAGTTTTTCTCGATACTAGAAAAAAAATTTCGAAATTTTTTTGGGGTTCGAATCACGACTGAAAGGGTTTTCATATGATATATTATTCAACCCAGTCCGATGATTTTTTGTGGTACCTGATCTTGCGTGGAAAACAAAAAACTAAAAAACCCGATTACCAAGTTCCTCCCCATTTCCATTGGTCGGAACAATAATTACTCAGTAAATGATGTAATTAAAATAAGATAACCCAACTTTTTCATTCTTACCAGAGCATCCATAGACTCTAATAGTTTCATATATGCGTCTGCGTTTCCCAACAGCATTCGCTTTATTGTATCGGGGCCTTCGGCAACCAGACCCTGTAAAACAACATACGATATACAACTCCACAACCCAGCATTCAATCGTTATTTCCCAAAAAATTAGGAGCTGGATACCATCCCAAATTTTACATGTAATTTTGACAGTTTCCAAGATCATCTGCCACAACCTTTTTGTAACTAAAATTTCAACAGTTCTACCAAAGCATCCTTTTAGTCAGATATTAGCCACTCAGACTTTTAGTCAGATATTAGTCTTCTTTTCTGAGCATCAGAAGTAACCTCTTTTCATGGCTCAAAATAGTCCAATAGAAGAACGAGAGCTCAATTAAACTCACCCTTTGTACGTTGGCGATCTTCTGCTCGATTTCGTTGAGGTCCTCTGCTAACGCCTCGCTCTTCACATGCACTGTCTTGAGACGTTCTAGAGTACTGGCCTCCACTGGCGACTTAGAGGGCTACAATCAAATAACAATTTTAAAACGAAGATACGGCTACAGTTGAATAAAGATACCAAAAACGTTCAACTAGAGTGCCCAGTTGCTGTGCAAGTAGCACAGAGTGTTCCATTCCGGTTTTGACTGATTCTTTGATGTGATTGATTTGTGATATAACATCATTTAGAAAATGAACAAAATTAAAAAAAACCGCATCTCGAATTTCAAAAAAAGATGGCCTTCGATTTTCATGAACAATTAATGATTGACACTTTTTTGATTAAAAAAATAACCTAATTTGAGAAAAGTGTAATGATAGGTAAAATTTTTATTCCTCTGGGAAATCTCAAAATTTAAAACCTCTTTCAAAACTGGAAGTCAATCACGTTTTCCGTGACCTTTTGACTTTTGCTGTTCGATAGTGGAGTTTGCCTTCCCTTCAACAGAAAACTTGAAGTTTGCTTTAAAAAGTCAAAATTCAAACGGCAAAATTTGAATTTGAGAGCAGATTAACAACAAAAAATCGGTGTTTGCAAAAAAAAACAGAATATTCAATCAAAAAATTGCTTATCAATTCAAAAGAGTATTTTTACTTTTATAAGGTCACAGAAAACTACAAATTCGCCTTATCTTTTACAAAATCGAAGCTATTATGAATCTCTCGTGTGTTTTTGTGCGAGGAATTTTTTATTCTACTCCTGATAATGGGTAAAACCAAAATATCAAATTTTGTATAGTGACAAAGATCTATCGTAAGCAAAACATGGTCTAAAAATAATAACATTAGGCCAACTATTCAAGGTAAACAAAAATAAATAAAGGCAAAACATGGAAAACTAGAAACGTATAAGGTTATTTTGCATTTCAATTCTTTTACAAAGAGAACATGCATCTGCAACTTCTCTTTGTAATTAATTTATGCGACTTTAAATTAATTTCACCTTAAAGTAAAGCACCTAAAATAGAGGTAACCAAAATTTCAAGAGTACCGAAATTGAGACAATTGTTAAAAATCAAATTAGTAGTTTTCTTGCAATTTGGGGGCAAGTACAGCTCTTCATTGTTCGGTACAATTAGAAAGAAAGTTAATTTCTCTCACTCATTCCAGTCCTGTGCAAATCAAACACAGAAAAAATATGACATATTTTGAAACTGAAACAGCTTTTTTTTATACTTGTGTAGAAAACAAGAGCAGCCGGTCGATGCGCAAATATTGAAAAAAGTTGATGAGCTTAAAATTGATGATACTTTTGATGTTGTTACGCTTAGGGTTGATGAGCTACAAGATGGAAGCAAAGAAAATTCCGACCGCATTCATAAAAAACACTTAGTTTAAAAAAAATTTTGTCGCTTTTCATGCGTGGTGTGATGAGAAGAATTAGATGACAGACAAAAAATTACGACAGAGGCGGAGCGGAGCTTCGCATCATTCGCGACACAACAGAAACATGAAAAAACATGAGACGAAAAAAATGAAATAATAAAAAACAAATTTTAAAATTTCCTGTCTCGATAGAATTCCACACTAGGAAAATATACCATATATTTGAATTTAAATTAGCAGCGGAACAAAGCTTACGAAGAAAAACGTAGCCGACAATCTTTGAGCAGACAAATTGAGGGAAAAAAATATCAGTTCCCCCTGAAACTACATTGAACAACACTTGCACTTGCAACTACGATGAAAGTTGCTTCAAGCAGAAGCAAAATCAGGATGTGGCACCTGAACCGACAAAACGAAAGTCCGACAATACACTTTTTACAGAAAATCAATTGCATTCATTCTGATTCAAGTTATTCGGACAAAACGGACAAAGTTTGAGATTTCAACGGCTGTTTTCTCGACAAAGTTTTAGAAAGATAAGAACTCAAAAACCTGTATAGCAGAATATATTTTTGGTTGATAGCCAAAAAAAAGATCCTTTAAATTATATAAAAATCAAAATAATTAGCTAAAATAAATTTCAAACGTTTTGCGCAAATTTTTCGAAGTTTTACCCTTCTAGTACTTAGTTGGGGTGTGTAAGAGGCTTCTTTTGATATAAATTTCTCATCATACAACTTCGTAGTTTCAGCGTAATTCTTGATTAACTTTTAAAAAAGCCAAAATGACCCTTTTTTGGGGAAAAATTTTGATTGCAAATTTTGAAAAAAAAATGCTCTATATCAATTCTTGAGGAATTCTAAGCAATTTTTGTTCTCTTCACTCTTTGTCTAATCCTTACCCAATTTGAGAAAAACGCGTTTAAAATTTCAAATTTTGTTCGTTGTGTCCGGTTAATTTAAATCAGGGATCAACCGTACAATTTCCCCCCTTATCCATTTAGGGGGGATAAATAACTGGTTTTTCATATATCGACCTTGAGGGCATACTAAATTGAGCTAATACGTCAAAAAAAGTCAAAAATAACTATGTATAATGATTTAGTGAATTAACAGTATAAAATAGGGGTCTTTTCGGTTATACCCCCCCCCCCTTAAATGAACAAAAAAATTGGCAATTCAAATTTTGAGTTGAAATTGAAAGCTCGAAAGCGAGTGAAACTAAATACCACTCGCGTGCAATAAGCAGCAGCTCGATTAGGAAACCTAGTGATAAATTTGACATACTTTTGTTTCCTAATCGAGCAGCTGCTAATTAGCAGAATCAATTTTCAAAATTAATACGTGGCAAGCGGGTAGATTCTACGGTAGGCCACTTAGGGGGGGGGGGGGGGGGAGATTGTACGGTTGATCCTAAATCAGCACTGTACATGCTGAAAATAACAAGGTCTGTCCGGGACTCGAACCGCAGACATTAGACGGCAAAGGCGTTACCTCTAGGCCAACTAAGAATGTTTTCGATTATAACCTCGCTCGCATTACTCGCTCAAAATTAGACTCCAAACGCAAAAACTCGGTCGTCGGAACAAAAACCATTAAATGAATTTGTCAATTAAGAGACTAACCTTCGAGCCCATGATTACCATAACTCTCGAGTTGTTCCTTATTCCATAACTGAATAGTGTAGCGTCCAAATCCAGCAGCGATTTACCTTAAACACAGATTTCACTAAAAATTAATTCACTTCATCTTTAAACTGTCCAATTTCTCATAGCATCTGTCACAATGAAAATAAAATAAGTTTTTCCTTACTTTTCCAATTGTTTCAAGGTTTCTTCGAATTAAAATAGGAGTATAGACAGGATAATTTTTCTAGTTTCAATGCGCTACTTATTTCATTACAAAAAATTTTGCGTACTGAAGAAGCGTAAATATTTCGCTGCTCTAATTAAAAACTGACGGGTCTTTTATGTTATACGGCCTAAAAACTAGACTTTTCGCCATTTTGAAAATTTGTTCATCATGCGCAAATTTGATTGGTTTAAACTAACACCCCCGAAAGCATCTCCACGTTTTCAATAAAAGCAGAATCTCAATATACAGACTTCTTTAATCTCAACACCACTACAACAACAACACTTGGAAAACAGACAACGACAATCTACAACTCAACAATCGGATGTACAAGAGCCTTCTCTCCACTGCCTTCACTACACCGTGCACACAACTGCCCCAGGAAAGCACTCTTTTTCAAGAGTCATAAGTCGGCCGATAAAGCCTATATAAAGGTGCTATTCGAACCAAGTCCCAAACCGGCACTTGCAAACCCAACGGTGCGCAGCCAACCTGGGTTCTGACTTGGATCGGTCGCAGTCCTGATTGACTTTTTGTCCCAAGAAAACAAGATATCTGTGTTGGTGCCGGCTCTCGGACAGGAGATAGTGTCACGGCCGCAGATCTAGAAGTTGGTTGGTCCCTATAACACCCTAGTCTAAGCAACACATTGCGAAAGCAGTGCTAGCATTCTAGGAGGCAGAGATACGTTGCGACCGGGTCTGCGATTGCTTACTTGGACAACCTCTACTCTGTCGTTATTGTTGGACCTACCAAGAGTAACCCGACGGAAGAGGGTCTAGAGTGAAAAAGAAAGTGCCCAGAAGGACGAAGAGGGTGCAAGAAGAAGGGCTACCAAGAGTAACCCGACGAAAAAGAGCCTAGAGGGAAGAAGAAAGTGCCCAGAAGGACAAAGAGGGTGCAAGAAGAAGAAAGTACTAGACGAAGAGGGTGCAAGAAGGAGCATTCCTGCTCACATAGTGAGCGAAGAAACCCCCCCCCCCCCCCCCACAATGCCATCATCCCTTAACTCCCAAATGGCATCAGCAATCGAAAACTACGACCAAAGCGATGACGAATCTAATTCCGAGTTAATAATCGAAGGAAGCCTGACACCAACAAGCAATGATCAAGAAAAGGCCTCGCCTCAAAGGCAACTGACAATGGGACCAAACCAAGATCAACATGCTGATTACATCACAGTAAAACGAAAGCAGTTCAAGAATGTGCCCTAAGGGCAACCGACAATGCATTCAGAAAACTGGCAAGGAAATCTTGATGACGCTTCGCCTAAAAGGCAACCGACAATGGAGCAAAGTCAAGCAACTAATCGAAAGCGCAAAGCGGAAGAATCACAAGCTCAAAGCAACAAAAGACTAAATATCACGAACATTATCTACATAAGCTTTGCAAAGACAAAATTCCAAGCCGAATGACTTTCACCAAATCAATACGTAACCTGACTAAAGTACAATATCCTGGTCAAACCAGGGACCTCAAAACTGGCCTAGGCTATTCAATCAAGCCTGAATCGCCTCAAATTGCCCAAATTAGCACCCAAGCCAACCTCGAAGTCCTGTTTCCCGACACAGAAGTAAAAATCGGAGGCAGACAACACAAGACAAACCAACCCAAGAAGAAACAAACTTCCAGCTTTGTTATCTCAAGAGTCAGTGAACAACTCAGCGAAGCTGACATCCAATCTGAACTTGAGGAGATCAACAACATCAAGGTAGCAAAGCTCTTCCGAATCCAAAGCAGAAGCCTAGACAAGCCAACACAACTCATCAGAGTTTTCACAGATGATGACCTCGCCTGCAGAAAGGCAATCGACAATGGGGTCTACATCTGCAACGAACTGAAACGATGCGAAGCATCCAAAACAGAACCACGAGTAACACAGTGTTACAAATGCCAAAATTTCGGCCACATGGCCATTAACTGTCCGAACCAGCAACGATGCCTCAGATGTGGCGACAACCACGCAGTCAGAGACTGCAAAATTCCAAAGCAGCAAGTTAAATGCATCAACTGCAGAGGCGAACACCCGGCGCAGTACAAAGATTGCCCGGTTTACAAGACAGCTCAAGTCGAAGCCCAAAAAGCACAACCAAAAGTGCAAAGCTACGCTCAAGTAGTCAAACCACAACCAACCACAACCGTAGTCAAACCACAACCAACCACAACCGAAACACAACCAACCAAGAGCAAAGAGGACATACAGCAGTTCATAAGAAACTGTTGAAACTACAATAGCCGATCAAGTCGAAAAAGCAGTGCAGAAAGCCATGGACGAAAAGATAACCGATGCAATCACCACAGCCGTCGCTAGATCATGTGAGAAAATTAACGAAACAGTCAGCAATGCAGTTAAAACTCAATTCGAGAAAAAAGATTACACTGAACTGTTAACATCAAATATCAAAGCAAAACAAAATACAAAAACACACAGAGAAGCAAGCAGCAGCAGACATAGTAACTCCCGAAATCAAAACAACAACAATAAACCAAAATGAATAGACTCAAGATAGCACAACTCAACTGCAGAAGTATAAACAAGCACAAACTGGAGATCCAAGATCTTCTAGCGAAACACAACATCACTATAGTCTGCTTCAACGAAACAAAAACCAAATATCCACCAAAACTACAAAACTTTAACCTTGCAGCAGCAATCTGTGACAGTGTCACAGGCTCGGCAATTTACATCAGAGACAACATACAGTACCAAGTACTGGAACAAGCACAACACATAAACCAAAACCACAGAGAATGCAGAAAAGTATGCGAGACGATCAAGATCAACACAATGGGTATCACTGTAACAAGTGTTTACCTTAGCCCAAACGCAGAGATAGAGAACGTGACTTTCAATGGAAAAGATCCAAAACACATCATCGTTGGAGACTTCAACGCACAGATCAAATCTGTCAACCCAAAAGCAAGAGCAACCAACAGCAACGGAAGAGTTGTAGACGCTCTCATGCACAACTACTTCATCTTGAACGGTTCCGAACCAACACACCAAAGTGACTCAGTCCTAGACTTACACTTTGCATCACCAAAAATGGCTTGCCTATGCACGAACTTTGAAGTGTCAGACACAACACCAAGCGATCACTACATGACAATTGCAGAGTACGAACTAACTGTTCCAAAGAGAACATGCACAAAACCAAACTGGCGAAAATTCAGAGGCACAGTAACGAACTACAAGTTCAACCCTGACTCAATCAAAACTGACGAAGGTCTAGCTCGAGAAGCTGACCAGATAGCCAAACACACTGACAAGTGCTACAAGGCAGCCTAAAAGAACACAAGCACCAATTCACGAACCCACAACTAGTCGAACTAGTCAGAAACAAACACAAACTTGAACGACAAAAACAAAAGATGAGACGATATGACCAACAAGACACCAGTGACTACAAAGACCTGTGTACAAAGCTAAACAAAACAAAGAAAGACATCAGACAGCTAAAACAGACAGTAGAAGGAGAAGACCAACTCAAACTACTCAGTGAAATGAACAAAGCACCAACACAACAGAATTTCTGGAAAGCAGTAAAAAAGCTCACAGGCACAAGACCTAAACGAACGAGTCAACTGAAAATGACAAATCAAGACGCTGCGAACCACTTCGCTAAGATGCTCAAAGCAAACATGACGACAAATATAACAAACTCTCAGGCAGCTCTAACGCATGAACAGGAAGTACATGACAAGGTGTCCCAGGCGAAAATCCAAGATTTTCAACTGGAACAGACAGGTTTTGCACAAACAGAGATTAGCTTAAAGCAACTCAAAGACGTGATCAAGCACAGAAAGAGCACTGCCCCAGGACAAGACAAAGTTAGCTACAAAGCGATGAAAAACCTGCCCAACAACGTACTAGAAGTACTAAGACAAATCATAGTACAATCGCTGAGAAGTGGCTCGTTCCTCTAGGCTGGAAACAAGCGACAGTATCAATGTTACCAAAACCCGAGAAAGACCACAAAGATCCCAAGAACTATAGACCACTCTCACTTACAAGCTGTATCGGGAAGATTTGCGAGTGTTTTGTCAAAGAGCAGCTGCTAGTACACTGCGAAGATCACGACATCTTCGGACACTTTCAAAGTGCATACCGAAGCGAACGATACACCACCGACAATTTACTCTGTCTAACAGAGACAATCTATAATGAGAATAACTGGAAGCAACCCGTTGCAGCAGCATTTCTGGACGTGCAACGAGCTTTTGACTCTGTATGGCACGAAGGCTTATACTACAGACTACTAGAAATCAACTGTCCGAAGTGGATTGTAAAATGGACCAAGAGTTTTTTGACAGACCGAGAGTTAACAGTAGTATACCACCAAGCCAAAGCCGACAGTTTCACACCCAGTGCAGGAGTACCACAAGGAAGTGTAATCAGTCCAATTCTTTTCAACATCTATGTAAGCAAACCAGATGCAGGTCTAACAACAATATCACAATATGCCGACGACATAGCAATTTACACAAGTTCAAATACAAGCAAGAATGCAACACACAGACTACAAGGTGGTCTAAATAAACTTGAAGCATGGTGCCAGAAATGGAAGATAGACGTGAACCCGGAGAAGACGAACTTTATACTTTTTACAAGACACAAGAAGAATGACTGCAAATTAATGCTACAGAACGAAGAGATCGAACCATCAACAACCACTAAATTTCTGGGAATTACATTAAATGATAACCTGACATGGAAAGACTATCTACAAAGAATTGAAGACAAATCGACAAGGAAAATCAATTTTCTACTAGTACTACGAGCCAAAGGCATCAAATCCAAAGTCTTAAAGTTTTTGTACCAATCAACAATTCTACCAGTATTCACATACGCATCACCTTCGTGGGTAAACGCATCTACAAGGCACTTACAAAGATTACAGAACAGAGCACTAAAAATAGCCTACCATCTACCAGTAACAACACCAACAGACGAAGTACATAAAATCACCAGGATGAAGACGATTCAAGAAGAACTAACAAGACTAAACTCAAATTACCTCAAAAGAGCTGCACAGACAAACCCCAAGATACAAGAACTAATCCGAGACACTCTACAACAATCAACAGACACATACGCACACAGACTCACACCAATACAAGCAATTTTCCAACAACACCTTTCCGCAAGATGAACAACACCCGGAAGTTAACAGCTTAAAGAGCAGCTGGTCTGCTTCAGAAGCTTAATTGGTCACAGACCAACACATACTTATCATATACAGACTTCTTTAATCTCAATAAATGACTTCTTCAACTCTTCAAAATTTTCATTATTGTGACATTTCAGTAGATTTTCACTCCATTCCTTCAATAAAAGAAAAACGCATCGTAGTAAGCAAGCCCCCGCCAGCTCTATGACATGGTCCGTGTGATGTCAATCATAACATAAACTCATATTGTATGTTTTAAATTTGCCATAAGAGTAATCAGAGAAATAGATCGGACATTCGTCCTATTTACATTGTCCTATTTACACTGAACATTTTTCATCTAATTAAGAAATAAGATATTTTTAAGGAGTCCGACATTTTTAGTTTAAGTGACGGGAGGATCTAGGCTTTTCTCGGTCCTTTCGTTCGTCGATAAATCGTCTCGACTTCTTCAGTGGTGAATCTACGATCTTCTCGAGGGGGCGGCTTCTAAAAACTTTTTTTTTGTAAACTTTGCCGATCTTTTATTCTTAAGGTTGGCCAAATTGATTTTCCGAGCTCTCTGCTGTTTTTGAGAACTTTGCACAGTTTTGACAAAAAAAATAGCTTTCTTAGCGCGCGATCCCCCTCAAAGTTAGTCTATATTGGCACCAAAGGTGCATTTAGAAAAACTTCAGAGGCAGTCGGCCTAAATACAGTAGCAGCGAATGGGGGTCACCTTGGGCGATGAGGGGGTCAAAACCCCGAGGGGTCAACAGACCCCCGAAAACTGCCCCTGGTGTAAGTATATTTGCCTTTGAATATGATGCGTTGACTGTCTGTGGGAATGCAGCACACTTTCTCGATGAGGAGGGCCAAGTCACTCAAGAGGTGGGGCTGGGAGGAAGACTTCTGGGGGAGGATCACTCGGTGCTCCTCGGGGCCTACAACAGCACACGACACCACTCACTCACTCTTCTTAATTAACACTACTGGATCTGACTACGAGAATGACTATGAAGAACAACTTCGCATTCATCAACTTCGAAAGAATTAGACACTGAATAAGTTCGCTTTCATTATCATAATCACTTTATACTCATCCAGTCTGAAAAAGACAGCAGACAGGTTAGAGAAGAAACGAAAAGATGTAGAGAGACAGGTTATGAAAGAAGCAACAGTTATGTTATATGGAGATAGCCATAAAATGCTGTCACCGGTAACCAAAGCATGAGCACTCCGCATGCTTCCAAACTCCTTGAAGTGCCGCGCATTGACTTCAGATCTATTTTTCGAAGTATACAGCGCAGAAGTATACAGCGCTATTCTAGATATTTTCATCGCATAGTTATTTGACCTGGTTCAAGATATAAATAGAACGTTTTTACGTAATATCCAGTCAACAACTTTAATGGTGCCAAATTAACACACATAGGCGAAGCGGAGTTTCAAAAACAGCTCAAACATAGCAGTGCAAGCTGAAGAGAAGACAAGAGTCAATGAACGCAACTACACAAAAAATACTTTCAGAGACAAAACATAGATGACCTGAAAGCTCTTTGAAATTCTAGAAAAATTTATGATGGAAACTTTTCTGATAAAAAAAGCCAATTAGGAAAAACTGGATATAAGTTAACTTTTTATTCCATTGAGAAAATTGGAAAGTAAATTCCACTATCGAAATTAGAAGTCGATCACGTTTTTTGTGACCCTTTACACTATTTTAGTTCGATGAAGGAATTTGCCTTTATTTTAAGAAAAGGAAAAAAAAGTTGAAGTGCAAAACAAAATCAAATTAGAGCCTGGATAATGTTCAAGACATTTCCTGAAAAACTATCACGACCTATATAAGAGCCTAAGCTACGTTCATCCGACTCTTAAAAATTACTTAGAAAAATTCATATTTTTGTATCGACACAGTCGCCAAACATAATCATCAGTGTTAAATAAGCATTCAGTATTGTTTAACGAGCGGCCACTAAGACGGCAACACTTGAAAAGACAACCGCTTAGCAAAAAAAGTCAGTTTTTTGAGCTACTAAATTTCAAAATTTGAAGTTTAACAACCTTCAACTCCTGATAACAAAAACTGCGTAAATTTTTTCCCTTCAAACGACAAAAGACTGTTTTTTTCTGTTTTGAACTAATTTTATTATTACTGAAAGTCGTTCTTTCACTTATGATATATTGGCTTAGTTAGCTTAAGTGAAAGAACGACTTTCAGTAATAATAAAATTAGTTCAAAACAGAAAAAAATTCAGTGTATTGTAATATACGCTGGTGAAAAATTACCAAACAATCGACCGTCTGATTATTCAAAGTTTACCAGTAAAAGTTTTCGAATTACCGAAGTATCAAAAACTCAAGGTCCCGCCGAGATTAGAACCCCATATTTGAGGATCCCAGGGCACGCTCGTTATCACTAGACCATATAAAAAGAAGCCTTGAAGGTGTTTGGGTTCCATAATAACACATCAATTTCTGACATACTTGTAGGGCAAGTTTTTTCGGGAAAAAAGTATAATTCCCGATTACACGTCACTTGCTCCCATAAGAGAAAAAAATTGACGACAAAAATAGCATTGCCAGCAGATAGTTGGAAAATTCTCAAAAATTGTGATTTTTCAAAGCATTTCACAAATTTTGATTTTTTCAAATTTCGATTTGGAAAAAAATACAGCACATTAAAGCTCTTTGAATTTCCAAAATCATTTATGATTGACAATATTTTTCACACAGAGGCGAAGCAGAGCTTCGCACCAATTGCAATGCAACTCAAACATAGAACCTCACCTGGCAGGAAGAGAAAAGGCGAAAGGCACTGAGTCACTACCAATTCGAAAAAAATATCAGGCAAATAATTTGCAAGTTTTTATCGAGTGAAATTCAATTTGGCTCTTTTTCCTCCCCCCCCCCTCCACCAGCGAAATTTGACTAGTAAAAATTAGTTCACATTATCGAAAAAAAACTATCAAAAAAACTTCATTATTTAATTTTGATGGAGCGCACTGAGAGCGGGAAACTAATCATACAGATAGAAACTGATTTTAGAAAAAAAAATTCAAATTATCCTTTCAAAATGAATTCTTCATTTCCAAAAATCTCCAAATGAAAGGTATGCAGGGCTCAAAAACAAAATTTCCAAGCTCGGATAAACCCTGAAACTCACCAAATCCAGCATTTTATAGATTAGGTTCCTAACCCTAAGGTACATGATTTTCACGTGCAAAACAAAAAAAAACATCCAAATCCAGCGTATTCAAATTAAAAGCGCTGACGTCTTAAAATGCAATTTCTTCATTCGATGAATTCAGGATAACAGTTTCAGGACAAAAAACTAGCTTCGTATTCCCACGTATTTGAACTTTTTTTTTACTATATTTTGCTGATTAAAGAATTCTTAAGCATCAAGCAGCAGATGCTAAAGAGTATAGCTGAAAACTAGAAGAAAGATCTGGATAGATGACAGCTACTTATAATGGACGTCATACTGGTGATTATGATGTATGTACCATATTTGATCAAGATGTTCTTGTGTTCTCCTCCGTGTATTTCTTCTGCCATGTGTCACTCAATTACAGCCTCCAGTAACTTTTTCCACCTGATTAAAATCAACTGTGTAAGAAACGATAAGTTATGTCAGAGGTAACAACATCCACTTGAATTAAGTTCATATACTCTGAAAACAAATCACGGTGAAAACATAGTTAACTCAAAATTAGAGTAGACTGAATTATCTCAACCAACAGGAACAGGCTTTTTAATTTTATCGTTCTAAGATTCAACGAAAACAAATTATTATTATTTTCATATTCATCGTCTAATCAATTTGTACCACAATACACACCGAATTTAATCCAACAAAAAAAACAGAGGCGATGAGGTTGTACAATTAAGAAAGAAAAGCAACCAAACAGCGCTAACAGCTGTTTCGAGAAAAAAGGGATAGCAACACCGAAATTTAAATCTGACTTCTTCTATGCTAAATTTAGAAGTAAAAAAGGATAGCCGATTACTGTGCAAGTAGTACAGAATGTTCCGACCAGTCTTACAAACTACACTAGTTTTTTACCAATTAGTGTCTTTTTTTTGTGTGATGTGTTTTTTGTGTGATGTGTTTTTTTCGTGTGATGTGAGAAAAGGAGCTGAATGTAAAATTAGAGATTCGGCATATTCGACAGTCATAGTGAACTTAGCAAAATGAAAAACAATTGTAGAAAAAAGACTAGTAGAACAAAAAAATCAAAAAGTTTGCATTTTTTTGTTGTTTTTTTGAATTTTTTATTCCAAAAAAGCGCTAAAATTCTCAAAAAAACTAACTTTACTCCAGTAAAACTAAGTTGTAAGCTTTTAAGCCATTAAAATAGGAAGCTATTGTAAGCTGCTCGTTCGCTCGACTTCAAACGAAAAAATCAAAAACTACTAGCCATTTTTTTTTGCAACATTGAAAAAATATAAAAGCTTTAATATGATATAACACGCAACTCTCTCCGATGACTATTTGTGGTAGCTGCTTTCGCGTGTAACACTAAAAAAGAACAAACGTACCTGAATACAAAATTCGTCTCCATTTTGCAAATGGTCGGAATAAGAAAGATAGCCGGTGGCTGTGCAACTAGCACAGAATGTTCAGACCACAATCTCGAAAAAGATACACGAAATTTTTTTTTCATGTTTTTATTTCCATTTAGAATTTTTTTTGTGCGTGGTGTTTATTCTTAGAAAAAAAACTTTTGTGCCAGGAAAGACGCCGACGTTTAGATTAAGAGTCTCAAGCCTTCGCAGCTGCGCTATGGTTGCTTGAGAGCGGGCAAACATTACCCAACGATGAAGCAGATAGAAAAATTGCTTTTAAAATTTCAATGCTATGCACCACAAGTGCCATTAAACGAGCACTCTTTTTGCGGCTGGGCTAAAAAAAAACAATTAAATAAAAAACTCCTTTTCATTCCTTAAGACTTACAAAATCATTACAACTAATTTAACACATAGATACATATTTCTCAACGCTTTATACATTTTTTTCGCGAAACCACAAGACAAAATAAATTTCAGCCAGAACAAAATTTGACTTTTCCTGAAAAAAAAAACATTAAAAAAAATCACGAGTTATACAAGAGTCTGAACCAAGTTCATCGATCCAAAAAACAAGCCACCAACACTGAAAACCGACACGCATAGATACATATTTCTTAACACTTAAACATCTTAATCAAAAAACATAGCCAACAGACAGTCAACAGGAAAAAACTTCAATATTCGAATTTCAAATTAAAATTTATGGCCTTTGAATATCAAGAAGAAATTATGAGTGACATTTTTTGAATAAACTAACTCAATATAACAAACTGAATCAATAGATAGTTTTTCTTCCGCTGGGAATTCTGAAAGCTTATATCTACGCTTTTGCTGTTCGATATGGCAATTTCTTTCCATTTAAGAAAGGAACTGAACTGAGCTTCCAAAGAACTCTGCATCCAAACAGCGAAAAATCAATTTTGAGCGCGAGCAAATTTTGAGCGTATTCAAGTTCTCACTACGTTCATCGACTCATTAAAAAAACTTCGGTAAAAAAGGAGCAAAAACTACACATTCAGCTCAGATATCGATGAGCAAAAACTTTTGAAAAGGCTGGGAACGTAAAATATCATCGCACCTTGTACAGTACTCTGTTCATTCAAAGAGATTTCGCAACAAAAAATCATGGTTAAAAAACGGTACCGCGACAACTCGCAAGAAAAGACAACTAGCAAAATTGAAGGAAAGCGACAACTCGCAAGTTTTTGAAGCTAATTGGAAACTTTATATTCTCGGTTTAAGGTCGCCGGTGGGCGCACTACACGCGCGTCGCCGCGATAACCTGCTCTACATTTCGTACAAAGTCCTACCCTCTGTTGGCAAGCTCGCAACACATTGGCGCGACTGCGGCGGTGAGTATATTGCGAGTTGTCTTTTAATGCGAGTTGTCTTTTATTGCGAGTTGTCTTTTCTTGCGAGTTGTCGCATTACAAAAATAAACAACAAAACGAGATGTACATAAGATTAAGATTAAAATATTATTTCGCTCCTGGTGAAAAAAACTTATTACAAAAAATAATGTTTGAACATTTATTTAATTTCTGAATGCTGAACGACAAAATACATTAACCTTAAGTACGGTTTAAATATATACAAAGCTTTAAACGAATTTTCAACTACCTAAACAAAAATAAAGTGATGATTAAATCGTTTTCCGATGATTGATTGATTGAAGATAAAAATAAAGCGCCAACAAGAAACGTCGATGCACTTACGAACATCTAAATGGATTCCAGATTCTGAGTTAGCTTATTTGTGGCAAAACAATTAGAGTTTGAAATCAATGAAAATCTGCATTATCGCATTTTGTTTGAATATAATTTTTCTCAAAAAAAAACGAACTTTTAAAAAAATTGCTTTTGTTGATAGATATGTCTACTTTGAAAACTTTATGTTTAATTATTCAGCAGTAAATTCTACCACCATAAAGCGCAAAAAAATATATACTCAGTATTTAATCACCAGAACCAGGCTTGACTTATGAATTTGACGAACGCGGGCGTACTTTTCGATTTTTAATAGGCAAATCCATTCGAATTTTAGAAATCTTCTAAGCCCTTAAAAAGACCCTTTTCGAATATTGTTCCACCCGTATTAACCCGCCCCTTACTTAACGCACACACAATAGGCGGCCTGATTAGAATTGTACATTTAATTTGCACAGTGTAGTGTATCTGTGATTCTTCTGTTTGTTTGATTCTGATACTGACTGACAGTGAGTGTTAGGAGTGAAGTCCGACTATCCCTTCTATCTGGTAGAGCATGTGAGGTGGGAGCGGCATGGAGTGCTGGTAGAGAAATGGAACTGCTTCACACTAAAAACAATCAAACCAAGTGCAGAGAGACGAAACGAAATGAATCCAAGTTTCCTTAACTAATACGTAATGTAGTCATTTTTCAAAAAATTACAGCTTTTAAGGCTTTTATTAAAGCCATGATTATTTTTAGCCCAACAACAAATTATATCTAAACAGCTATCAGCTTTTCTCTATGATATTAGTTCAAAACACAACTTGTCAAAAAGTTTGGACCGCTTAAAATGAAGGTACAAGTAGTATCAAAGGTGCGGTGCTAAAGGAGAGAAAAATGAAACAAAGAAAGACTTAAAGAACCCATAAAAGGACTTTCTTTCTCGAATTAACTCGATCCAATAAATTTGGAAATACTGACTGTCAGATCTGGCCGTGAGAATGCCCTGTCCACAGGCAGAGGCTGGGGAGGCGAGAACCAGGAGGCACTTGTGAGGTTGTGGTGGGGGGAGATGTACTTGAGGACTGGGAGAATGTGTCCTTCAGTCGAGAACAGAAACTTGCCAGCCATGTTCGAGGAGTGCAACTCGTTCTCTTCGTCAAATAACTGAAGCAGTCAGCCTTATAACAGTAACTAGCAAGCCCGTCTCCAACAACCAATTGTCTCGCAAAAAGTAGTTTTTCCTTTCATCAAGCTATGAAACTCAAAACAATTTCAAGTTGACCCATATCGTAAATGGGTTTGAAAAAAATAAATCACGACCGAATCGGTCCGCGAAAAAATGAAATTTTTCTACACCAGCTGGACCAGAAATAAAACTTTGAAATCCGATAGCGAAAAAATAGGTTTTTATATAGGAGCCATTCGACCGACGAAACTTCCAAATCGGTTTTCGAAAAAAAAATCAACTTTTTCTGAACAAGCTATTTAAGACATGATTCTTTGAAATATTTCAAACTATTTCATGAATTAAATCGGTAGGTTTAGATTTTTTTTATTGGAGCCATTTAACCAATGAAATTTTGAAAAAAAACTTTCAACCCATTCCATAGACTGAATCGGTTCTCCTTTTTTGAGCAAGCTATTCCAGCTATAAAACTAAGCAATATTTCAAGTTATTTCATAGAGCTAGTCGGATGACAAGAAGTTAAATTTCTCTCAGCAAGCTATTAGTTAACTTTGAAATATTTCAAGTAAATTTATCAAGCGAATCGGCTGGCGATAGTTCATGATTTTCTAAGCAAGCTATTTGAAATTTTGAAATATTTTGCATGAAGCGGATGCCAAAAATTTCTCCTAAGCAAGCTATTCCAACAATAAAAATTTCAAATATTTCAAGCAATTTCATGAAGCGAATCAGTTAGCTAAAAAAATTCATTTTTTCTAAGCAAGCTATTCGAGCTAAGTTTCTTCACGAAGCGAATCGGATTGCAATTTCTATAAAATTTGATATTGAAGCCTTTCAATTGATGAAACGTTGAATTATTTCAAACTGTTTCATAAAGAAAATCAGTTTGGGAAAAGTTGAAGCTCATCTTAACCTTGCTAATGCAGCTATTAAAGTTGGAACATTTCAAGTTATTCCATAGATCGAATCAATTCGCAAAAAGTTTTTCTAAAGAAAGCTATTCAAGCTAAGAAAATTTACAAGTAAATTCATTGACCGAATCGGTTCGCGAAAATTTGAAGTGTTTCTTAGCAAGCTACTCTATAGTTATGAAAACTTGATAGATGGCAAGTTATTTATAAAACCGAATTTTCTTCCAAACTTTCAAGAAATATTTCAAGCTATTTCATAGACCGAATCGTTTTGCGAAAAGCTTATGTTTTTCTCAGCAAGCGATTCGACCTCTGAAACTTTTAAATATTCTAAGTTACTTCATTGACCGAATCGGTTGGCAAAAAGTTTTCTGAGAACGCTAGTCATGCGATGAAACTTTGAAATATGACAAGTTGTTTCACAGAGCAAAACGACTGGCGAGCCGGTTTAGTTTTTTTAAGCAAGCCATTCAGGCGATGAAACTTTCATAATGAAATTGATCTGAAAAGACAAAATTTTGGAGAAAAAAATGGACAGGCACTGTCTAGCCTTGAAAATGAAGTGAGTTCATCTTGTCTAAAGAATTGAATTTTTGTCAAGAAAAAATTCTGGAATATTCCAGACTTAAGAAAGTTTGAGAGTTCAAGAATATTCTTGGCCTTCTCTTATACATTAAGTGTAAAGAATCTTTTAAGCATTGCATTCGACAAAGCTAAAACATTTCGTTCAGTTAAATATTGCGTCCATAGCGCATTCCGACTTTCATTTAATATATAAGATATATATCTGCTTTATTTATTCATATTAAGCAAATTAAGTTTAAGACCCTTTATGTTCTTTAAAGTAACCGCTTTTAAACCCGTTTAAAAACAACGGGGGGTCTATAAAACTTTTGGTAACTCTATTGAAAAAGTGATTTGAGATGAGGAAAATTTATATTTATTTATTCAATTAACTATACTTACTAAATAGAGGTATTTGAAAGTTTCGCTGAGCACAAAACTCTCCATTCGGTCTTCCAGTGTCTTAGACTTCACGTCTTTCAATGTCGCAAAGCCACAGCTGAAATGAACAGTTTAAATTAGCGCCATGAAATGTGAATCCAAGCATTCTGTCGATCAATTTAGAAAACAGTGTCGAGACAATTGGCGAGACGTTATGCGTTACTTCTGATGCAACAAACCCATGCACCAGATGTTTTCATAAAGCGTTGAAATTTTTAAATATCACGACGCTGGCTTCACGCAAGCGTTCCAGATTTCACAAAAAGAAGCCCAACGAATCCTTCGCAATAGTTTGCGAATAGTGAAAAATTAAATATGTCAAAAAATTGAATTACATAGCCAATAGACAGTTAGATAATTGTCAATGAACTCTCAAGATAGCCGAACAAATTGTGACTTTTTTAATCCTTTTTCAAATTCAATTTTCGCAGAAAAAAATATATATCACGTTAAAGAGCTCTTTGAATTTCTGAACTCCTCAATAGCCAACATTTTTTTTAAAAAAAACCCACTTAGAGAAAATTCGTTCAATAGGTGGTTTTAAAAATCCGCTCAAAATTTAGAAAATTCCATTTTTGATACTGAATTCAGTCACGTGTTTTCGCGCAATTTGAACTTTGTTGTCTGAGATTGTAATGTAATTTCCATTAATTAAATGAATGTAAACTGAATTTTAAAACATAGTTAACGTCAAAGCGCGAAAAATCAAGTTCCAGCATGCACAAATGATGCTTTTATCCCAAATACTTTTATCCCAAAAATAGCCAATGGAGACATGGAAAAGAGTCAATGAACGCAAGTATTTTCATATAGATGTCACTAAAGCTCTTTCAAACTCAGGAACAATTTCTGATTGACACTTTTTTGATTAAATTAACCTAATTTGAGAAAACTATCAATGGGTAAATTTCTAATTAAGCAGAAAAATCTGCATATTAAATTCAATTTTCGAAACTAGAAGTCAATCACGTTTTTCGTGATATTTATACTTTTGCAGTTCGATAAACGAGTTTGCTTTCCTTTTAACAAAGGATATGAACTGAACTTAGAAAAGATAGCCAACTAACAGTTGGAAAAGAGTAATGAACGCAAGTAAAATGAAAAAACTGACTTGTTTTTTGAAGAAAAAAATAGATCGCCCTAAAACTCATTGAATTGGTAGAACAATTTATGATGGACACTTTTTTGTTAAAATTAACCCAATTTGAGAAAACTGGATCAATACGTAAGACTTTATTTCGCTGGGAAATCTGATAATTAATTTTCCATTTTCGAAATCAGAAGTTGATCACGTTTTTCGTGTCCTTTATACATTTGCTGTTCGATAGTGTAGTTTGCCTTCTGTTTAACAATGGAAATGCACTGAACATAAAAACAGCAAAAAAATCAAAATTGAGCGTGAACAAATTTTAAGACTTTTTCCTGAAAAAAAAAACAAAAAAAAATCAGCAAGACCTATTTAAGAATACTCACTAAGTGCATTACTCTTAAAAACAATAAGTCAAACCGCAAAAAAGTACATTTGAGCCTAACCAAATTTTAAGACTTTTCCTGAAAAAAAAACAAAAAAATAATCGCGACCTATATAAGAGTCTGAACTACGCTCGTCGACTTTTAATTAAAGCAAAAAACGGCAAAAAGGAGCTCTATGAACGCCGGAACAAACAACGCTTAACATCCATGGGCCGGAGATTACGCGTCTCAGGTCCACGCATCAACACCATGTGCTCTTGAACATATCAAAACACTAGCCGCCACCAATAAGTCGGATGATCACATGCGATTAAATTTCCAGTATTATGCAGCAAACGAGCCAACAAATGAGCACTTCTATTTGCGAGTTGGGTTAGAAAAAAAGAGGACTTGTGATAAAAAAACAACACTCGTTAGTCAACCAATTAGTGCACCATTTGCACTTCGGTTATTGGATGGGGTAATTGGAAATAGTAAACACGCGAAAAATCATATTTGAACGTGAACAACTTCAAATACTGTTTCCTGAAAAACATCACACATCAAAAGGTATGTTTATTCACTTCCTTCATTGAAACTATAAAAAAAACGTTTTGTTTCTGATACTCTACGTTAAAAACGGTCATATACGCCTTGAAGACTTTTTGATACAATGCATAATTAGGCTGTGCAACAAGAACCATTGAAGCCTACAGCGATAAACCCGCAGCGAAAAAGAAATCAGATTTTTGAGATTGAAGATTTTTGAGATTGAAGAAATCAGAAACATGCTTTGAGATTGAAGTAGTCTCGAATTGCAAAAAGACACATCAGACAAAACGACACAATTAGACGTGCCTGACATTAAAATTGTATCAAATCGCAAAAAGACACATTTAGACAAAAAAAACTTCGCAAAAAAAACTATTCATTCAAATGAATGACTAAAAAAACTTTTAGTGCATTTGTATATACCTTCATTTTTAGTCATACAAATGAATGACTAAAAAACTGTTTAGTGCATTTGTATATATCTTCCTTTTCGGAATGGAGAACAAAATCAAGCTATCAAAAAAAGAACCAGATGTTCGGTTACCCACAGCGAAAAACCCCCAAAAAAGATTTGGCATTCCCCCCCCCCCCTCAAGCACAAGAAAACAGATACTTTGTGGTCTCTTGAGCTCCAAAATTTCTTCGTTAATGCAGTTCCGTTAGTATAGTACGGGCGTTTTCTGTACAAAAGAAGCTATTTTGACGACGGTGGTACTTCTTACTAACGCTTAACATGGCGATGCTTATACCATTTGGTTTCGTCAAAAAAAAAACTTAATTCATTATATTGCATGATTGTCACTTAATTTCGGATGCGCAATCAGATCATCGCACTACGCATGTTTCCACTAGTATACTCAACTCTTATTTCGGCTAGTATTTCGTTTTTGAACATAACCGCCAGCCACCCACAGATTGCCATTCTTACTGCAAAAATTTCATGCCTCATCAATTAGGCACAGACTGCAAACTGATCACTATATGTGACAAGAGACTGACCTGGTACGCGTGTATTTATTGATATCTTCTGCTATTATTCTTCCCACGTGTAGGTAGAAGGGACTCTTTGTTGCCCTGTAGAGCAGGTAAGTGGACTCTGCCAACTCCGGCCTCAGAGGGTAGAAGTGGACTTCACTGGTCTGGTGCACCAGATTGAACCTCTCTGGAAGAGCAGAGTACTTCTGCCAGATTGCAAAGTGGAGAGCATGCTGGCAGATGGCTTCTTCTATGTCTCCAAACAACACCTACAGCCAGACATTTATGATTATGGCAGTTAATTCTTTCTTTTATCTTCAAGAACCCGCTAGTTTTCGAGATATCGCACTTTTTAGATTTTTAAAAATTTTTTCTCATTAATTTGTTTTCAAAAAAAAAAGAAAAAAAAACGATAAACGATAACTAATCCAACCACTGAGCTAGAGTAACCATGCTGAAAGAAAAGCTGTGTCAGTCACCAACAAACTAAGTATCTAATCGAATCTACCGAAACATAAAAAAGAAATTTAAAAAAAAACATATTGGCAGATCCGTGGTGGATCCTAGGATCCCGTTATCTGTCATCTCCAAGTCTCAGAATCTGTTATGTTGTATATTTAAATTTGATGTTTTCATATACTGGAGAAATTCATTCTTTCTTTCTTTCAAAACTTATCAAAGATAGAGTAGCAATGTCGGAACCCTTCTCATTTACCGTCCTTCTGCAACTGTAGGTTGTTACAAACAGAGTGAAATGTCGACCATAGGTAACAAAAAAATCTCTGAAATAGGTAACAAAAAGATTTAACCAAATAACGTAAAACAAAACAACAGACCTATTGTCAAAATTTCTTCACACAATAGGTTTGTTGTTCAAATTTCTACTGAAATTCAAGAAATATCTTCAGAACACCTACCAGTATTCCTGGCCATGCAGCCTGTAGTGAGTCTATCCAGTTAGTGAGTAGTTGTCCAGATCTGTAGTCCACATTGCGGAAGATAGGAGGTCCGCTGGGATCGCCACTCCTCAGAGACGGCGACAGGCATCGGTGCCTTCTAAACATATATTCATTTGAGTATTCGGTTAAACAATGTCGGACCCGTTCATGCTCAGAAAATATAATTTCGATATCTTCTCAAGTTTAAGTGAGTTTCAGTGCCTCTAGCTAAAGATAATCTTCATTTTCGGTTTAAAGACCACACCATCATTTTTCATTTCTGGTCCGTTAGAGTTGATTTGTTAAGTTCTGAAAACTTGTTCACATTATCTAAATTACTAAATTACTCAACTCAAAATGAAGTTTGTCAATTTACCAAATATGACAGCTCCGTCAAATGATCGCCAAAGTATATACCAAAATATAACTCATAACCATAACTTGTTTCAACTCCATGTGAATCAGAATACCGAAAACAGAAATATTCTCAAAGCATAGAATTTCCAAACAGCGCAGAAGACGGCAAGACACAAAAGCCAATAAACAAAGAAGACAGGAGATGGTCATGAGCACCACTTAAACTTACCCTTCTTTGTTGAAATATGAAACCAGTCTATACATCTCATTGAATAGTAGCAGATAGTCCTGCTCGTTGAACATCACATATGCCTTGATGAGATATTCATAGAACGAATCCATACCAGCTCCCAACCCACTAAGACCACTATGCCACTGCTTAGAATGGATGTCAAATGAGTTGCCAAACAGAAAAGTCTCGTTATTGCGCATATCCCAAACTGATCGCAGTGCATTGCGAGCTACTCGTTCGTACACTGGGTCTCCACTTAGGTGTGAGAGTAGTCCGAACTCTAGACTGAGGGTACCCACTCCTGCGAGGCAGTTGATATTCTGACGCAAGTAAGGCTCTTCCGTCACACCATGACGCAAGTTCACCTTCAAAAACATCGAACAATAAACCATAATAAACGGTATCTTGAAACGCTATCCTTAATATATATTCACGTCGAATAACCACATATAAAATGCCTCCCCGAAAAACGCAATATACAATTTGGAGAACCTGCTTGAAGCTAAAATCGCTTTTTGATATACATTATCAAAAACAGTCCTAAATTATTCTATACAAAATGGAGCTAAGCAGCTGAAGAGAAGAAGCCAACTCACTCTTGGATAAGGCAAGCCTGCGTGGCTCTCGTGGAAAGCAGGCAGGAGTCTTGAGGCAAGATCCAAGGCCAGGTCATATAACTCATTGTTATACCCGTCCACTAGCGTTCCTGATGATGACGACTTCGATGACGCTTTCCGCGATGATTTATATTTATGTAATGATGGCTCTTTAGCTTGAGCCTTCTTAGAACTTCCTTGCCTGTTCTTTTTGGAATGGTGATGTTTAGGTGAGTCGGCTTCAGAACTGGCTAAGATATGTGCTGATAATAGACCTCCCAATACCCTTAAACAGATAAGTTTGACCTATATTTTAAACTATAGACAGCAACTTTTGAAAAGTCAACTTAGCTCGGATTTACGACGGTTACCTAAACAAGGGCTTTGATTTTAAAATATTGTTTTAGTGTTTTCAATGATCTCGCTATAACATGATTTTCAATATTCTACGGAAGAAAGAAACTGTCGTCAATGGGAAACTGACCTGATATTAGCTTCGAATACTTGTACGTTCGTGTCCGTATCGAAATCCACATTCTCAGACACCAATCGCACACCTCGCGAGAACTCATCCAAGTCGCCCATGACCTGACAATCAATCAACAAATTGGGATCATATCCCTTCGCTGTCTTTGAATTTCTGTGAAAAAGAGCACCATTTAAAAAAAATTCCCTATATTTCTGTAAGTTCTTCAAGACTTATTTTAAAAAAGAAAGACTTGTTTTTCATGATTGTCTTTTCTTTTTCCCGGTCTTTCCTCGAATGAAAAGTGGTCACTGCTTTCAAACCATAACTATTGTACAAAAAATTTTCTTAGTTAAAGCAAGGGGCATTGGTGAGAAGAACGGTTGTGAGGGGAGCGGCAGGAAGAGGCAAGGCTGAGTCTCCGCTAACATCAAAAGGCCGGGTGTTCGAGTCCCCCATGATTCGTGATCGTTGCTTGAGGGTGAGGCAACATTACCCAGCCCAGAAAAATAGCCAAAAAAACTGTATGTACATCTTAACCAGGGGCACAACAGCGGTTCTCCGTAAAGAGCTAAATAGCTCGTATGTTGGTCTTTCTTTCATTGAAAAGCAGTCTTACAAAAAAAAACTATAATGTTATACTGACGTATAGCGTGTCAAGAGCATCGATGAGTGTCAATGAGTAGTTTCCTAAAGCATCGTTGAGGTGAATGTTTGATCTAAACGAGTCATAATCGCGGATCAGCTCAACAGACAAACTGCACTATTTTATTACTCAAATCGTCACTTTTAATAATCTTAAAACGGCTCTTTTTTGGTCCCAAAATGGCTATAAACACACCATCTTAAAATTGAAAGTGCCTTTCATGTCAAAAACGACTGGCCAAGTTGGATACAGATTGGCAAACTTACAACCTATTATATTTTTTAAAAAAGCATGAGATACTATTGCGAAAAGACCCTACTTGTCAGGATCAGCACCGCGTCCCGAACAGTTGATTGGATTGAGCTCGTCCAATGGAAATGCATGCTCCATGTACCCATTGTACGAATGATAGAACATTTCCTTCACGAACTCTTTCATCGCCTCTTTCTCCGAGCTAGGGAAGTAAGCGAAGTCCGAATAGATATTGGATAAATTGCTGGCATAAAATCTGTCTTCGTTAACCAGGAACTGATCATTTGGCCACGAGTATTTGTCGGCAACCTGAAACAAACAGAAAATTAGATATAAATTTAGCTTATTGTTCCGACCATGTCACTGGCTTATTGTTCCGACCATGTCACTGAAAATCGCGGAAGGCGCTATGGACTAGCTAGTGTTTTTCCTCTTTACTTAACTTATTTTTGCAGCGTTAGACATATTTAAATCGTTTCTTACCGAAACGAAACAACATACAATTTGGCGAAATTTTATTTCAAACATTGCAATACATTTTTTTAAAAACAACTTTCCGAATTATGAGTTTTTTTACATTCATCGTTGCAGTCGAAACATTGTGCTAGCACAAAATTTTTTTTTATTAAGCTAACTTGAACTTCGCATTAACAAAACTAGTTAACGAGTTTCCACGAAGTGAGTGCCATCCTGCAACCTGAAAAAAAAGCAAACAGACAGTTGGAAAAGTGTAAAATGAACTCGAGAAAACCAATTAAATGGTTTTGAAATTTTTGAACATTTTTCAACTTACGAATTTCGGAGAAAAACTATAGCACGTTAAAGCGCTTTGAATTGCAAGAACCATTTATGATTGACTAGCGTTCATAAAGTATACACTTTCGGAAGGCTGCGCATTGCAGACAAGAGAAAACCGATATGAAAAGATTTTATAAAACTAAATACAGAAGAACTCATTGAAAGAAAAAGATTTCTAAGTACTGAAAATTCAAAAACGACCAATACACTTTGAGTTTGGAAAGGAATCATTTAGGATATTTTATCATTTAGGAAATGCCCCCTCAAAAACGTTTATTCAATTGTTACTATTTTCCTACATACATTTTGATTGATCAACCTGAAAACTTTTCTTCTAAATGAGCATTTGATACAAAAACATACTTTCTCGAAATCAGAACACCGTGATGCAAAACTTTTTTTGGCAAAAAAAGATCGACAAAATTTCATGAAAAACCGTCCCGCTCCTCGAGAAAATCTCTCCTCCCTGGCTTTTACATTTTACAATGTGACTTGCGTTGCAAAAAAAGCGGACTGACCGTTACTTAGCACAGTCACAAACTCTCTGGTCTTAACAAAATAGCCAAAAGACAGTTGGAAAACATATCTGAACTCAATGAAACCAAAAGTTAAAAACAAACGAGAGAGCCAAATTTAAGCGCGATTAACCTAAATTGATTTTTTGGGAATTCTTTTTTAAAATCAGTTTTTAATTTAAATTTAAATTAATTTTAAATTTAACAGCAATAAACATTAAAATTTAACAGTATTAAAGATCGAGTTGATTTTTGCCAAAAAAAATCTGTTTAGGTTAATCACGCTTAAATTTGGTTCTTTCATTTGTTTTTTAAATTAATTTCAACTTTATTTGCTGAAAAGGAGGCAAATTACGATCTCCAAATACAAGAACGAGTTATTTCGATGAAATTCGTAATAAAGTAAAAAATTGTGTTGATATTTTTCCAAAAAAAATCAGTTTAAGTTAATCGCGCTTAAACTTGATTCTCTCGTTTGTTTTGAAATTAAATTATCCTTGCATGTTACGCACCTCCGGTGCTTTGAAATTTTCACAACTCATGAAAAACCGCATATATTGAAAATCAGATCTGCAGTCTTTTAGTGTACACTGACAGCACCCAATTACATGGTTGGTAATTTCAAACTTTATAATTTTTTAATTGCCTTCCGCCAAATCTCGAGAAGTACAAACATTTAGGTAGTCATTTTCGGAGGCCAGATTCACAACTCCTTGAGTACCCTGGCAGCACCCCATTACAGGGTTGGGATACTTAAATCAAGTGAAATTTTCTAAATCTAAAATGATTGAAAATTTTGAAAAAATCAAAAAACCTCATATCTCGCAAACTAAAAGGATTTGAGAAAACACACTTTGGAGCAAGATTGGAGCAAGACTAGCAACCCTCGAGAGCACCCTAAGAGCACCCAATTACAGGGTAAAGAGTTTCAAATTTTGAAAACAAAAATTATCAAGCTTTTTGAAATTTTTTTGAAAAAATCACAAAAAAAACATCTCATCTCGAAAACTACAAGGATTTTAGCAGTCATAAATGGAGGCAAGGTTCGCAACGCCTAAGAGTACTCTGATATCCCCCAACTACAGGGTTGGGAATTTCAAATTAAAAAAAAATCTGTTTAGGTTAATGACGCTTAAATTTGGTTCTTTCATTTGTTTTTTAAATTAATTTCAACTTTATTTGCTGAAAAGGAGGCAAATTACGATCTCAAAATACAAAAACCTTTGAGTTATTTCGATGAAATTCGTAATAAAGTAAAAAATTGTGTTGATATTTTTCCAAAAAAAATCAGTTTAAGTTAATCACGCTTAAACTTGATTCTCTCGTTTGTTTTGAAATTAAATTATCCTTGCATGTAACGCACCTCCGATGCTTTGAAATTTTCACAACTCATGAAAAACCGCATATATTGAAAATCAGATCTGCAGTCTTTTAGTGTACATTGACAGCACCCAATTACATGGTTGGTAATTTCATACTTTATAATTTTTTAATTGCCTTCCGTCAAATCTCGAGAAGTACAAACATTTAGGTAGTCATTTTCGGAGGCCAGATTCACAACTCCTTGAGTACCCTGGCAGCACCCCATTACAGGGTTGGGATACTTAAATCAAGTGAAATTTTCTAAATCTAAAATGATTGAAGATTTTGAAAAAATCAAAAAAACCTCATATCTCGAAAACTAAAAGGATTTGAGAAAACACACTTTGGAGCAAGATTGGAGCAAGACTAGCAACCCTCGAGAGCAGCACCCAATTACAGGGTAAAGAGTTTCAAATTTTGAAAACAAAAATTATCAAGCTTTTTGAAATTTTTTTGAAAAAATCGCAAAAAACATCTTATCTCGAAAACTACAAAGATTAGAGCAGTCCTAATTGGACGCAAGGTTCGCAACCCCTGAGAGAACTCTGATAGCCCCCAACTACAGGGTTGGAAACTTCAAATGAAAAAAATTCAAAGGTTGTTTTTTCAGAATTTTTTTTAAAAACCACAAAAAACGTCAAATCTGCAAAATTACAGAGATTTGAGCAGTCCTAATTGTAGGCAAGATGCGCAACCCCTGATAGTACTCTGGTAGCCTCCAACAAAAGGGCTGGGAATTTCTAATTTTGAAGAAAAAATCACAAAAAAAACGTTATATCTGGAAAACTACAAAGATTTGAGCAGTCCCTATTGGAGGCATGGTCCGAAACGCGTCAGAGTACCCTGAAAGCACCCAACTACAGGGTAAGGAATTTCAAACTTTGAAGAAAAAATTAACTTGAGTTTTTTGAAAATTTTTTGCAAAAATCACAAAAAAAGTCATATTTCGAAAACTACAAGGATTTCAGCAGTCATAATTGGAAGCAAGGTTTGCAACCCACTGAGAGTACTCTGATAGCTCCCAACTACGGGTTGAGAAATTCAAGTTTTGGAGAAAAAAAAATCGTTTCAATTTTCTGAAAATTTTTTTGGAAAACCACAAAAAACGTAATATCTGGAAAACTAGAAAGATTTGAGCAGTCCTAATTGAAGTCAAGGTTCGCAACCCCGGAGAGTACTCTGATAGCCCCCAACTACAGGGTTGGGAAATTCAAATTTAAAAAATTCAATAACTGAGTTTTCTGATTTTTTTTGATTAACTACAAAAAACATCATATCTGGAAAATTACAAAGGTTTGAGCGGTCCTAATTGGAGGCAAGGTTCGCAACCCCTGAGAGTACTCTGATAGCCTCCAACTACAGGGTTGGGAATTTCAAATTGAAAAATTCAAAAGTTGAGTTTTCTGAATTTTTTTTTAAAAACCACAAAAAACTACATTTCTGAAAAAACTAGGAAGATTTGAGCAGTCCTAATTGGAGGCCAGGTTCGCAACCCCTGAGAGTACTTTGATAGCCCCCAATTATAGGATTGAAAATTTCTGAGAATTTCAAATTTAGAAAAAAATTTGTTTGGGTTTCTGAAAGTTTTGTGAAAAGAAAAGGACAGAAAAAAAGACAGAAAAAGATAGAAAAGATCGAAGAAGGCTCGAAAAAAATTTAAAAAACAATAGAAAAAAGATAGAAAAAGAGGGATCAAAAAAAGACAGAAAAAAAAGAAAGAAAAAAGATCAAAAAAGAAGGCTCGAAAAGATAGAAAATCCAGATAAAGATAAAGAAAGATTGGAGACAACCGTTTGACAGTAGTACTATTCTGAACTGAATCGTCGAAACCAAATTGAAAATAAAAAAATTAAGAGACGGGTAGAGAGGCATAACCAAACTAATAAAAAGCAGGTATACAGACAGACACTTAATTTGACCTCGAAAAAAATTACAAAAATTTATGACCTTGCGGAAAACTGATAGAAAATTTTTTAAGCAATGCAATATATGATATAGCTTAAACATGAGAAAATTCTTCCGTTAAACATGCAAAACATGGGAGATAGCTGTCACTCGCATCTAAATATAGTATAGATAGATAAATAGGTAGACATAGATTAGGTTAGGTTACGCTTAATTTTGGTTCTCTCGTTTGTTTCCAAATTAAATTCAACTGCATTTGCTGAAAGGGTGGCAAATTAAGCTCTCCAATCACAAAAACTTAGAGTTATGAAAAAGACTGAAATTACAATTGAGGACTTTTTGTGATCGCGCACAACGTTGGTAATTTTTAACAACATTTAAAGCTGTTATGATGTGATGTCAGCTTTAAAAATGAAATTTAAATTAAAAGTGTTGGCATCAATTTAAAATTTTTTGAAACCATTTAAATTTTTAGCAATATAAATTTTTTTAGTCTGTTTTTAGCAATTTTTCTGCCATTTTTGGTACTTTTTGCACTTTTGAAACAATAAATCGAAAGCAATTTATTTGAGCATATCTATTTGCAACAAAATTTTATCAATGTTGCCGTGAAAACTAAGATTGTCTGCTTTTCCGCGGAACTGTGAAAAGTGAAAATAATTGACATAACTAAACTGTGCAATTCGGTGTCGGATCGAATACCACCCGAGCAAATTTTTTTTAATTCAAATTGTTCGATTTAAATAAAAACTTTTCATTTAAATTGAGGGGTCTCATAATTTCACATTTGGCATTACTGGACATAACTGACACTAGTGAAAATTCAAAAAAATGACATAACTGTTATGACATAACTGCCACTAGTGGAAATTCAAAAAGCTCCTAACAATCAATGTACCTCTGGACCAACGTCTGTTTTGTGATAATTATGTTTGTGTTACCAAGTTAGGCTCATGGAACCGAACAAATAATAAAGCCGCAGCAGAAGATGCAACAAAAACAAGCAGAATTTTCAAAACACTTCGAAAGCTTGATTAGATAAATCCTTGATGATTTAGGCGCAAAATAAGCTCTAAATATAAACGCTAAATAATCTCTAGCTTTCATTAAAATTATCTCTAAAATCAAAAGGACACAAAAAGCGGCCTAAAAAGACAGACCAGACCACATTTTGAACGTAACAACTCTGATTGCGGAGAATAAAAGAAAAACAGTCAATTAAAGACAAAAAGATGGTTAGCGCTGTATAAGACAAAAAAAAACAAAAGCGAAGCGAAGCTTCACACTACTAGCGATATAACAAACGTATTATAACAAACTAGCCGCAGTAAAACTGTGAAAAACTGCGCAAAAAAGATCTACCAAAACTTCACATCTGTGTCTTAATTAGGCTCAAAAAGAAAGCAACTTCAGAAAAGCAGAGATAAATTTAAATAGGCTTTCGTAAACTGAATTTCAGAAAACAATCAAAGGGTGAAGTGGAAAAGAGCCGATAAGTTTTTAACATGAAAAAAGGACAATATTCCAATTGCTTGCTAATCGCAAACGTATCTGTTCTTGAGACCTTCTTGGCACCTAAAATCGCGCATTTAGCTATAAAAAAGTATGCATAAAAATAAAGACAAGACTGCACAAGTAAATCAGGGCAAAGCCCTGAGGTTCTGACTGCATTTAACGGCTAATTAAAAATTTTTTGGCTGAATTATTCATAAAATAGCCAAAAAAAAAATTGTTTCTCTTCAATTTATCAGCCCACACGGTGTTTTCAGTACGTATAGATACACCTGAGCACCTGAATGTTTGCTTTATTTCAGTCTGATAATGATCTATAATTTATCGAAAAAGTTCACATTGATTGTTTCCTCTTGAGTACGTAGGGATACATGTATTATAATAATAGGTAAACTAATAATACGATCAAAAGACTAGCCTCAAAATAAATTGGAAGGATTTATTCCACAGCTTACGTGCATTCTTAGAAAGCAATACACCGCGCTGAATGTAAAAAATGCCCAAATTAGCAATTTCTAATCTTAACAAAAATTAACTTTGCGAAAAATAAATATTTAGGTCAGATTTTTTAAATTTCAGCTCTGAACAATATAAATCAAATGGTATAAATTTTTCCGTGTTTAAAGTGCAATTATAGCTAGCCGATTGGGCATTTTTCCTCGCCTGCAAATTATTATAAGTAATTTGTCTGTTCACATTGTCTGATTGTTACAAAAATCGGCCATGAAAAGCATAATTGGTTTTCAAACTTAACCTTATAAAAACCTCGTTATACCATAAAATTGATGGTTATATGAGGTGGTGGAAAGGAAAAAGAGCCAACACGTTAAGTAACGAAGTAAGGTTTGACACGGGTAAAGAAAAAATCTGTTCAAAATTGTTACTTTGGGCTCTTGGCTCTTTTCCAGTATCCCACACCCTCGTAAAATTGCAAAATTAAGCGTTTGATGCAATTTATAACAATTAAAGTAATTTCAAACAAACTTTCATATAAAGAATTTCAGAAAAAATCTAAGGGGAGACTGGAAAAGAGCCGGGCTATTTTCCACTCCCTTTCCCATTTCAAAATTTTCATAGTTGTTTCTCGTGTTATAATGGTTGAATGCGTAGTGTTATGATATTAAGTATGAAGAACACACTTGCTCACAATATTTAATTTGTTCACTACTAAGCAAATTTTTATTTTTTTATCAATGTTAGTATAGTTTTGCATAGCTGAAATTCAAATATGGCCGGAAAGTTGAAAGGAGCCTTAAAATTTAAATTTGAAGGTGGGAGGGGGAGCGGAGAAGAGCCAAATATTTCGTATTTTCTAGAAAACTCGGAACAAAATTGAAAAACTTGTTATGTTGGAGAAAACTGAGAAGCTCCAAAGACTCTTGGCTCTCTCCCAGTTTCCCACCCCCCTCAAAAAATTACAAAATACAACTGTTCAAAATTTGTTCACACGGCATTTTGCATGTTAAAAATGCTGTACAAATTTGTTCAACTGTTCACGCTGACACGTTTTAACGCAGTTTATTACATAAAAAGTCATTTTAAATAGACTTTCTTTTATTGAATTTCAGAATAGATCAAAGGGGGAGGGGGGGGGGCTGGAAAAGAGCCAGACTCTTATGCGTCCCCCTTCCGTATAACATAAGCATATATTTAAAGGAGTAACGATAAGCTTCAGTCTACAGGCCAGTTTTTATAACAATCGAGCTACGTGAGCAAAATTATTTTTTTTTGTAAAAACTCGCAGGTGCGAGGGAGAAGGAAGAGCCCAGCCAAAAAAGATAGTTGGGTTCTAAAATAAGATTCTGTGTTGCAACAGACTGTAGAACTCACCTTATAGAGAGTGCTGTACATATGAGGATTGTTGACACAGTAGAAGAACATACTGGTGAAGAAGTGAGCAAAAGAACTAGTAAACATTGCACACGCGATCAACTGCTCGTAATTCATTTCTTCCACAGTACCATATTAACACACAATCCAAAACAGTATACAGAACCAAATTCAGTCAACATCAGAAATTCAATATTTCCCCATGGTGTCTTCGAGCACATAAACCAAGAACAAAGAATATCATCATCCTCTTCAAGGGATTAGGTCCAGTCATGTCATATCGCTCTGCAAGACATTTTTTTTCTTCACGTGCTTCCAGAAATCTCTATACGTGCAACGTGTAATTTCAACAATTTCTTGACACCTTGACCCAAGAATTTTTTAAATAATATAATTTGTTTTATCGAATTTCTCCTTCAAAATAATTTGAGTATTTTGGATTCTTTTTCAGTTTTCTTCAACCTCACATAACTATCAATGGCTCCTGTTTCCCCATCTGCGGATTTTACTAGTAAAATGTTTGTCCACAATGTTCGTTAAAACTGACACGCGGACTAATTAAACCATTCATGACAAACACTTTTGGTCTTCATACTTAACGTGAAACCATTCTAAACCATAATCTTGATGCAAGTTCGTGGTGGAAAAAAAACATCAATAGAAAAATTGATATCACAATTTGATTAAGGAAGATCAAATATGTTTGGAATATGTTAACAAAAACGAAGCGGAGCTTCGCACCATTTGCGATACGACACAAACATTAATACGCAAGTAAAAACAATAAAAATTTAAAAGTTTAAAAAAACTAGGTGAGAACATGTCTCGATAAAAAAACAACTAGGTGCCCAGCTAAAGCTGGAGGTACGTGTTTGATATTGTGTGAAATTGTTTTTACTTATTCGCGACGAAATATGTGATTTCGGAAAAAAAAACTTCTCTATCAAAATCAGAAGGAAAGAAAAACTTTGAGATAATCAATTTTCCCAAGAGATAACAATTCTCTTACAAAAAATAAAGGAGAACAATTATCGCAACCGTTTCTTTCAATTGAACTTTTCACCTTCAATTTGTAAGGGTTAATCAAAAAGTTTTTCAAAATGTCAAAAGTTCTATATCGGAACTGGTACGATAGTTAGCGAGAAAAGCACAAAGAACGGTAAAAAAAATTTTGACATTTCGAGAATCATATCTGTGTAGAAAATAACGGAGTAGTCGCTTTTGCATGACAGATTCACGCAACCTGTAATTTCGATGGAACCCAAAATCTAGCAGTTCTCGAGAAAAATCAAAAAGTTTTAAAAAATGATCAAAAACCAAAAAATTGATTTTTCCGAGGGCGATGACTTGCGTAGAAAAAATTTTTGTGAGTGGCGGCTAATGCAGTGGGACGTCTCACTGCTCCTAATCTCCATTGAACCCAAAATCTCGAATTTGAGAGGTTAGTTTTCGAGAAAGGTCAAAAAGATTCAAAAAAGGGTAAAAAAAATTCGAAGACTTGAATATTCCAAGGCTAATAACTTTATGAGTAAAAAATCCGGACGTAGCCGCTTACGTAGGGGAATCTTTTGTGTTCATCTAAACCAAAAACACAGATTTGAGACGGGTAGTTCTGGAGAAAACGAGTAAAAAAAAAGACATGGGTCAAAAACTGCCTCCCACAAAAAAAAATATTTTCGAAGGCGCTATGGACAGAGGGGAAAATGAAACAGACTAGGGGAATATGCGGACAAACAGGATAGTAGGCGTTCTTTCTCTTGAAACTATTTTTTAGAAAATCAGTGAAGTTTCCGAGAAATTTTAGCAAAAAGTGAAAAAAATTTCCAAAAAAAAATGAAATTTCAACCAACTGAGTGGTAAAATTAGAACAAGTAACGCATACATAGCAGAGGGGAAGGCCAAAAAGATCCAAATTAGGTCATTGGGCCAATAAAAAATAGATTGAATTAAAGTGCGCCAAGAAAACTTTTAACAGAATTAACAAAAAGGAAATACGAAGTCAAGTTACATAAAATTACAACTTCCTTTTTTCTCCTTTTTTGGTGATTTTCTCCTCCCTGCTGGTGGTACTTCCTTTCAGTTTGTATTGATTTTAAAGTTTATAATTTCAGTATTTTTCTGCGAAATTCCCAGCGAATTAGTTTTTCGAACTGGAAAAAGCAACCTGGAGTAAATCAAACACTTAAAACTTTAAAACCGCGCAGCAAAAGAAACGATTCAAGATGTGGAAACTCAGACGTCAAAGGATAAGCAAACAAATAATTGGCCGACAATTTTATAATTCCAGAATAATTCCAGCTTGAAAGAGACAGGCACTGTTGATTTTCAAACCCAGGACTTTTGCCGACCTAGACGTATTCGTTAAATCCAGGCTAAGTTGTGTGACATTCGACCAGAATGGACCAAAATGCAGATTCGGCATAATCGAGTTTTTAACAGCGAACCTTCCGAATTGGCGATTTTGAAGGAATAAGAGCGTTATTGGAACGATTGGCCAAAAGGTGAAGGCTAGAATATTCCGGTGTTTCAAATTTTTGCAAGGCCGTCGCTACAATAGTTGCAAGGCCGTTGCGAACAACGGTGAAGAGTGGAAAACCAGCCTTCCGGAAGGAGAATAAAAGCCTTATTTCCCCGGACTCAGGAATCCGGAGGGGTCTCGGGACTGAAACTTTTGTTAACTTATATAAACATTTAGCTTCCCTATTATGTCCTGAGTTGAATTTAATTAACATCTGAATTCATTCTACTAAGATGAGAAGCTAGAAGTTGGGGGAAAGGGTTGATCCGTCTTCGATGGAGATGATGATTTTCATCTACTGAACAAAAACAATAATAATTCAATAAATAGTAGTAGCCCTGATTTTAAGAGTGACCTCGTGGTCTGGGGATACTGAGACCCAGCCATGAGCTCACTATTTCTGCATGTAATCTAGTTAATTTGAGTGTTTTGACCGAATCCGAAAGCAGTAACGTTTTTGTCGACCCGATGTTAGAAAGACCACCGAAAGTACTGGCTTGGTAGAGACGGTTAAAAATATGTAAAGCTCTTTTTAGACGTTAGCCAGTCGTCTGAGGACTTAGTTTTATTTTCCGTTGATATGTATCTTCCGGGCGAATGTTACATAGATGTTTTTATGGCGCTCCTGGGTGTTATTCTTTTTTAACACCATGACCGGCAGAACCGTTAACGAGCACTCCGCGCCGAGCAGATGCTCACATTAACGCACTTAATAGGCCTAAACCGCCGGGGCGGAAGGGTAGTTCGGAACGCGGAAGCCTTCCGGATTACCGTGAATAGCTTTTTAACCTAGTTAAGACCGAAAATTCACAAACAGGAAGGGTGGGGGGATCGGCCATCCCCTCGTTCCCTGAGGGATTTGTGACCAAAAACACTTAAAGATATATATAAAACCAAACAAAAAGTAGCATAGTACCCAAGTAAAACAAAAAACATAAAAAATAACCGAAAAAACCAAAAACAGTAAAAAAAAAAAAGTAAAAAATCAGTAGAAATCATCCCCCCAGACAAGATGTGATCCGACCCTCCTGTTTTTTGTTAATAGATATATTGTTGTTACAGGCATTTATATCAGACAGGATTGTTACGATCAATTTTGTAGCCCGTTTGTGGGGCTTGTACTGTAGGGTGATTTGAGCATTTAAGCACGTTAATGATAAATTGCGCTCAATCCGGAAGGGTCAGCTGATTTGCGCTCAATCCGGAGGTGTTTTGGGAGAAGACTGATCCGGCAAGCAGTACAAGGAATGACAAGAAGGGGCTCAACGACAACAACAATCGACCAGGACTTTTGCCGACCTAGACGTATTCGTTAAATCCAGGCCAAGTTGTGTGACATTCGACCAGAATGGACCAAAATGCAGATTCGGCATATTCGAGTTTTTAACAGCGAACCTTCCGAATTGGCGATTTTGAAGGAATAAGAGCGTTATTGGAACGATTGGCCAAACGGTGAAGGCCAGAATATTCCGGTGTTTCAAATTTTTAAAATTTCGAAGTATGACGTCATATTTCTGAGAAACGTCAGAAATGGCCATGTTGGCAGAAAACTGGAAGAAAAACACAACAACATTAGTTGCGATAGCGAAAACAACAAAGATTGTGGTAAAAAAAACAACAACGAATTGCAGAAGTAGCAGAGACCGCTCCGAGTTGCAACTATTGTGTCGCTACAATAGTTGCAAGGCCGTTGCGAACAACGGTGAAGAGTGGAAAACCAGCCTTCCGGAAGGAGAATAAAAGCCTTATTTCCCCGGACTCAGGAATCCGGAGGGGTCTCGGGACTGAAACTTTTATTAACTTATATAAACATTTAGCTTCCCTATTATGTCCGGAGTTGAATTTAATTAACATCTGAATTCATTCTACTAAGATGAGAAGCTAGAAGTTGGGGGAAAGGGTGATCCGTCTTCGATGGAGATGATGATTTTAATCTCCTGAACAAAAACAATAATAATTCAATAAATAGTAGTAGCCCTGATTTTAGGGGTGACCTGGTGGTCTGGGGATACTGAGACCCAGCCATGAGCTTACTATTTCTGCATGTAATCTAGTTAATTTGAGTGTTTTGACCGAAGCCGGAAGCAGTAACGTTTTTGTCGACCCGATGTTAGAAAGACCACCGAAAGTACTGGCTTGGTAGAGACGGTTAAAAACATGTAAAGCTCTGTTAAGACGTTAGCCAGTCGTCTGAGGACTTAGTATTATTTTCCATTGATATGTATCTTCCGGGCGAATGTTACATAGATGTTTTTATGGCGCTCCTGGGTGTTATTCTTTTTTAACATCATGACCGGCAGAACCGTTAACGAGCACTCGGCGCCGAGCAGATGCTCACACTATCGCCCTTAATAGGCCTAAATCGCCGGGGCGGAAGGGTAGTTCGGAACGCGGAAGCCTTCCGGATTACCGTGAATAGCTTTTTAACCTAGTTAAGACCGAAAATTCACGAATCAGGAAGGGTGGGGGGATCGGCCATCCCCTCGTTCCCTGAGGGTTTTGTGACCAAAAACACTTAAAGATGTATATAAAACCAAACAAAAAGTAGCATAGTACCCCAGAAAAACAAAAAACATAAAAAATAACCGAAAAAAAACCAAAAACAGTAAAAAAAAAGTAAAAAATCAGTAGAAATCATCCCCCCAGACAAGATGTGATCCGACCCTCCTGTTTTTTGTTAATAGATATATTGTTGTTACAGGCATTTATATCAGACAGGATTGTTACGATCAATTTTGTAGCCCGTTTGTGGGGCTTGTACTGTAGGGTGATTTGAGCATTTAAGCACGTTAATGATAAATTGCGCTCAATCCGGAAGGGTGTATCGTTAACAAGTTTGGTACAAAAATTAAGATAGTAACCTGTGGGGGGCTCGACAGTGCTGCGCTGTAGTGACCCTTCACCGAACTGCGAATATCCGAGTTAAGCACCTTAATTCGGATATTAAACAAACCCGGAGGGGTATAGTATTACTAATATTATTACTTATATAGCCTATATTAATACTCCTATACCGTGTTTTAGTGAAAAACACAGAAAGTAGACCGGTTTTTAGGGTCAAAATAGCGATAT